TGATCCAGGGGAACATTCCCGGCTCTCCCAGCCTGGCATTGGATCCATCCCCATCCCGATTCCTCCTGGAGAAGGAATTTCGGGATCCAGGGGTTCCACTGGGAATTCGGGACTCCAGGAAGGGTCTCACTTCCCTTTTCCATCCCCAAATTCCATAAAAATCCCTCGGGATGGATCCTGAGTGTCCTCGATCCCAGAATCCCGGGATGGTTTGGGATGGGATCCTTTTTCCTTCCCCCCATTTTTCTCTCCTTGTCATCCCTTTTTTCTCATTTTCCCTTTTCCATAATTTTTCCCTTTTCCATAATTTCTCCCTCTTTTCCCTTTTTGCCCCCTTCCCTCCTTTTCCTCCCTCTTTTCCTCCTTTTTTCCTCATTTTTTCCTCCTTTTTCCCTTTTTCCCCTCCCATTTTCCCCCCTTTTCCCCAATTTTCCCCCCTTTTTTCCCCACCCCCCCTTTTTTCCTCTTTTTCCTCCCCTTTTTCCCCATTTTCTGCCCATTTTCCTCCCTTTTTTCCCTTTTTTCCTTTCCCATTCCCCCCCTGCCTTGTCCTTCCTTTTTCTCATTTTTCCCTGATTTTCCCCCCTTTTTTCCTCCTTTTTTCCTCATTTTTCCTCCTTTTCCCCCCTTCCATTCCCCCCCTTTTCCTCCAATTTTTTCCTTTTTCCCTTTCCCCACTTTTTTCCTCTTTTTCCTCCATTAATTCCTCCCTCCCCTCATTTTCCCCTTTTTCCTCCCTTTTCCCCCATTTTCCTCCCTTTTCCCCTTTTTTTTTTCCTTTCCCACTTTTTCCTCCACCTTTTCCTCCCTTTTTCTCATTTTCCCCTCTTTTCCCCTCTTTTCTCCTCATTTTCCCCCCTTTTCCCCAATTTTTCCCCATTTTTCCCCCTTCCCCTTTTCCCTCCCTTTATTCTTCCCTTTTCCCTCCCCTTTTCCAATTTTCCTCCCATTTTCCCTTTTTCCTTTCCCCTTTTCCTCCTTTTTCCTCATTTTCCCCCATTTTCCCTTTTCCCCCTTCCCCAAACTTTCCTCCATTTTTCCCCCTTTTCCCCTCCCATTTTCCCCCTTTTTTCCCCAATTTTTCCCCTTCCCCCTTTTTTCCTCCCTTCCCCCCATTTTCCCCCATTTTCTTCCCTTTTTTTTCCCATTTTCCTTCCTTTTATTTCCCTTTTTTTTCCTTTCCCCCCTTTTCCCACCTTATCCTCCTTTTTTCTCATTTTTCCCTGATTTTTCCCTCTTTTCCTCCTTTTTTCCTCCTTTTCCCCCTTTCCCCTCCCATTTCCCCCCTTTTCCCCAATTTTCCCCTTTTCTCCCCTTCCCTCCTTTTCCCTCTTTTCCCTCCCTTTTTTCCTCCATTTTCCTCCTATTTTTCCCTTTTTTCCTCTTCATCCCTTTTCCCCCTCTTTTTTCCTCATTTTTTCCTCCTTTTCCCCTTTCCCCTCCCATTTTCTTCCCTTTTCCTGCTTTTTCCATCTTTTCTCCTTTTCCATCTTTTCCCCCCTTTTCCCCCTTTCCTTCCTTTTTCCCCCTTTTTTCTCCTTTTTTCTCCTTTTTTCCTCCTTTTTTCTCCTTTTTTTCTCAATTTTCTCTTTTTTCCTCCCTTTTCCCCCTTTCCTCCCTTGTTTTCCCTTTCCCCCCTTTTTTTCCCTTTTTTTCCCCCTTTCCCCCTTTCCTCCCTCATTTCCCCTTTCTCATCCTTTTTCCTCCTTTTTCCTCCTTTTTTCCTCCTTTTTTCCTCCTTTTTTCCTCCTTTTTTCATCCTTTTTTCTCCATTTTCCCTTTTTTCCCCTTCACCCCTTCCCCCCCTTTTTCCCTCATTTTTCCCTCATTTTTCCCTCCTTTTTCCCCAATTTTCCCCCTCCCATTTTCCCCCTTTTTCCCCAATTTTCCCCCTTTTTTTCCCCCTTTCCCCCCTATTTTCCTCCCTTTTCCCCCATTTTTTCCCAATTTTCCCCCATTTTTTCCCAATTTCCCCCCTTTTTTCCCCATTTTCCCACACCTCACACCTTTTCCCCCCTTTTTTCCAGGATCCCAAAGTATTCCTGCACAGCAGCATCCCTCCGGTGAGCGCTCCCGCACATTCCCGGAAAACCCGACCCCGTTTTTTGGGAATATTCGGGACTTCCTCCTCCTTCCCTTTCCGAGAAATATTCAATTATTTACAAATTTATTTATTGACTTCTTTATTTATTGGGGAAAATTAACCGGAAAATGGGAAATCCCGAGGGGGGGGGCGGAATCCCGGAATCCTTCCCAACATTCCAGCAGGAATGGCGACGCCTCCTCCCTCCAGCCCAAATTTTGGGATTTCCCTCCCTCCATCCCAAATTTTGGAGTTCTCCCATAATCCCAAATTTTGGGATTTCCCTCCCTGCATCCCAAATTTTGGAGTTCTCCCATAATCCCAAATTTTTGGGTCACTCCCTCCATCCCAAATTTTGGAGTTCTCCCTCCATCCCAAATTTTGGAGTTCTCCCTCCATCCCAAATTTTGGGATTTCCCTCCCTCCATCCCAAATTTTGGAGTTCTCCCATAATCCCAAATTTTTGGGTCACTCCCTCCATCCCAAATTTTGGAGTTCTTCCTCCCTCCATCCCAAATTTTGGGGCTCTTCCTCCCCTCATCCTGAATTTTGGGAACTCTTCCCTCCCTCCATCCCAAATTTTGGGGCTTTTCCTCCTTCCATCCCAAATTTTGGCGCCCCAAATTCCCGATTTTCCTTCCCTCCTCAGCTTCTCCCGGAGAAGGAGACGGATTACAGTGAGTGCCCGCGATTCCCGCCCGGAATTCCCCGGAATTCCCCCGGAACCTTTCCCTGGGATGCTCCACCCGTGAAATCCCAAATTTCCCCGGGGAATTTTGGGATCCGGGAAATTTTGGGGTCTGGGAAATTTTGGGATCTGGGAAATTTTGGGGTCTGGGAAATTTTGAGGTCTGGATAATTTTGGGATCTGGGAAATTTTGGGATCCGGGAAAATTTGGGGTCTGGGAAATTTTGGGGTCTGGATAATTTTGGGATCTGGGAAATTTTGGTATCTGGGAATTTTGGAAGCTGGGAAATTTTGGGATCCGGGAAATTTTGGGAAGCTGGGAAATTTTGGGATCCGGGAAATTTTGGGAAGCTGGGAAATTTTAGGAACCAGGAAATTTTGGGGTCTGGGAAATTTTGGGGTCTGGGAAATTTTGGGAAGCTGGGAAATTTTGGGATCCGGGAAATTTTGGGATCTGGGAAATTTTGGGATCCGGGAAATTTTGGGGTCTGGATAATTTTGGGATCCGGGAAATTTTGGGAAGCTGGGAAATTTTGGAATCTGGGAAATTTTGGGAAGCTGGGAAATTTTAGGAACCAGGAAATTTTGGGGTCTGGGAAATTTTGGGATCCGGGAAATTTTGGGAAGCTGGGAAATTTTGGAATCTGGGAAATTTTGGGATCCGGGAAATTTTGGGAAGCTGGGAAATTTTGGGAAGCTGGGAAATTTTGGGAAGCTGGGAAATTTTGGGATCCAGGAAATTTTGGAAAGCTGGGAAATTTTGGGATCCGGGAAATTTTGGAAAGCTGGGAAATCTTGGGATCTGGGAATTTTTGGGAAGATGGAAAATTTTGGGATCTGAGAAATTTTGGAAGCTGGGCTGGGGCAGGGCAGCTCGGGGATCCCGTGGATCCCGGGTTTCCGTGGCGTTCCCGCCTTTCCCAGGAAATTTTGGGAATCTTTTCCCTCTTTTCCCGCAGCCCAGTTCACGGGGCCGCCCCAGAAGCCGCCGAGATTCGGGGCCCAGGTGAGAGCCGGGATCGGATCCGCGTCCTCCTTCCCCGCCTCCGGAATCCTCCGGAATTTTCCGGCCGTTCCCGGCTCCGGAGGGGTCGGACGGGATCGGGATCGTGGAATTCCCAAAGAATTCCAGCGTGGTTTGAGGGGAAAGGATTTTCAAGGAAAAATCCCAGGATGCTCCAAACTTTCCTTGGGCACTCGCGAGGATCCAGGGATTCTCTGGATCTGGGAATTCCTGCCCAAGATCCCACAATCCCAAGCTCCCCTTTCCCACTGGGAATTCCATTCACCGGCTCCTGCCCCTCCAGCCCTTCCCCAAATTCCAGCTCTCCTTTCCCTCTGGAAAAGGCTCCAAGGATTCCCGGGATCCTTCCCCGATCCAGGGGAACATTCCCGGCTCTCCCAGCCTGGGATTGGATCCATCCCCATCCCAATTCCTCCTGGAGAAGGAATTTCGGGATCCAGGGGTTCCGCTGGGAATTCGGGACTCCAGGAAGGGTCTCCCTTCCCTTTTCCATCCCAGAATTCCATAAAAATCCCTCAGGATGGATCCTGAGTGTCCTCGATCCCAGAATCCCGGGATGGTTTGGGATGGGATCCATGGACCTCCAATCCAATCCCATTCCCACCCCAATCCCAGAGGGCTCCAACTTTTCCTGGGACACTTCCAGGGATTCTCTGGGAATTCCAGCCCAGCCGGGAATTCCTTCCCAAATTCCTCTCCTTTTCCCAGGGAATTCCCTCAATTCCCAGGTCTCCCAGCCTGGGATTGGATCCATCCCCATCCCGACTCTTCTCCAGGAAGGAATTTTGGGATCCAGGGGTTCCACTGGGAATTCGGGACTCCAGGAAGGGTCTCCCTTCCCTTTTCCATCCCAGAATTCCATAAAAATCCCTCGGGATGGATCCTGACCATCCTCGATCCCAGAATCCCGGGATGGTTTGTGATGGGATCCACGGATCTCCAATCCCATCCCATTCCAATCCCACCACCCCAGGGTGCTCCGACCTTTCCTGGGACACTCCCAGGGATTCTCCGGGAATTCCATCCTCGGGCAGCCACCTCCAATCCCACCCCGTTCCAGGGAATTCCCGACTCCTCCCATCCCCATCCCGACTTTTCCCCGGCCGTTTCCCGGGACGGGAGCGCCGCCCCCTCGGCGTGCCCATCTCGCCCTTGGCCCCGTTTTTCCCGGGATCCGGCCGATCCCGGATGTTATCCCGGATTTTCCCTCGGCCCCCGCAGCCGGCGCCCACGGCCAAGCTGGACCGCACGGACGATCCGGTCTACGGGAATGTCACGGATCTGGTCCGGGCCGTGCTGGAGCTGAAGAACGAGGTCGGCCTCGTGCCTCCCGACGGATACATCCTGGTGGTCAAGGTGGGCCGGAATTCCCTGGAATTCCGCCGGGGCAGCGGGAGAGGGAGGTGGGAATCCACGGCTCGAGCGGCTGCTGGGATCTTGGGAAGGGGTCGTGTCCGTGGGAGGGAGAAATTCCCGCATTTCCGGCTGTTCCGTGGGATCCTTGGATCCATGGAGGGAGAAATTCCCGCATTTCCGGCTGCTCCATGGGATTCATGGATTCATGGTGGGAGCAATTCCCGCATTTCCGGCTGTTCCGTGGGATCCTTGGATCCATGGTGGTCCCAATTCCCGCATTTCCGGCTGTTCCGTGGGATCCATGGATCCATGGAGGGAGAAATTCCCGCATTTCTGGCTGTTCCATGGGATCCTTGGATCCATGGTGGTCCCGATTCCCACATTCCCAGCTGCTCTGTGGGATCCTTGGATCCATGGTGGGAGAAATTCCCGCATTTCCGGCTGTTCCTTGGATCCATGGTGGGAGAAATTCCCGCATTTCCGGTTGTTCCTTGGATCCATGGTGGGAGAAATTCCCGCATTTCCGGCTGTTCCATGGGATCCTTGGATTCATGGTGGTCCCGATTCCCGCATTTCCGGCTGCTCCGTGGGATCCTTGGATCCATGGTGGGAGAAATTCCCGCATTTCCGGTTGTTCCTTGGATCCATGGTGGTCCCAATTCCCACATTCCCAGCTGCTCCATGGGATCCATGGATCCATGGTGGGATCAATTCCCGCATTTCCGGCTGTTCCATGGGATCCTTGGATTCATGGTGGTCCCGATTCCCACATTTCCGGCTGCTCCATGGGATCCTTGGATCCATGGTGGTCCAAATTCCCACATTTCCAGCTGCTCCGTTGGATCCTTGAACCAATTCCCAGCTCCTCCCTTGGATCCATGGTGGGAGAGTCTCCAACATTCCAAGTTTCTCCATGGGATCCTTGGATCCATGGT